TAATGCTATATTTTAAGCTCTAAATAGACTGAAAGTCTACAAGTGTGATCTAAAAGAATGCTGAAAATTATACACAAAGAAGACAAATACACAAAAATCCTGAGCTAACACTGTGAAACACTCATGACGTTTTAAAATTAGCCTTGAAATTTTTAGGTGTGTCAGCTTCCAGTTCTGACTTGCAGCACTGTGATTGCTTGAGTTAGTGACACTGCACACCAAAGAAACACTTCAGAAAAAACTGCAGCATATACTCCCTTCATTTCTTTGCTAGTAGACAGTGCGTTCATTTTTAATAAAAGCACTGAGGAAGAGAAGCGCATCATGATGAAAGCAACAGATTTGCACCACTACATGTACCTTTTATTAAGACACTACCATCTTTTTCTGTTCTTGGTACAGGTGCACTGCTTAGTGTACTCAGTTTGCCCCTTCCATGTCCAAGACAGGACTACAAAGGTCCACTATATCAGCATTTAGTGGGAAAAGAATGCAGTCCTGATACTGTAAAGATAACTTCTCCTAAACAAATGTAGCTGAGAAGTACCCAGGAGATAGTGCATACAGTTTTTTGCATATTTCCAGAAATGTTTACATCTCTTTCTGCACTGCAGAACAGTTTAATCAGCATAAAGCTTTTTCCTGTTCTGCTGCAGACTGCTTGGTTCAGTAGTTCCCACAATACCATAGGTGTCAGTTTATCTTTGCTGGCTACAACTCTCTCAGTCGCCTGCTCTTTACCCTGCTTGCACAGATCTCTTTCTCTGACAGCTACTATTTTCCATGCAGCAGAAGCAGACACAGTCTCTCAAACATACTATAATTTTTCCCAGTACCATTGTCTCTTTGTATGCTGCTGCTTTGGATGGGCATAGCTTCTCCCAGCTTGCTGATTTCCCTTCAGTCTTCCAGACATCATTTCACATAATTTTACCATGACTTCACTGCCCAATCACTTGCCAAACTACTTGCAACTTTTTCTTTTCTTTTCTTTTCTTTTCTTTTCTTTTCTTTTCTTTTCTTTTCTTTTCTTTTCTTTTCTTTTCTCTGAGCAGCTCTGCAGAGATTCTATGCTTTGGTTCTGTACATGCTTCTCAGTGTCAAGTTTTTTCCTCTTGTACCCTACCAGCCAAAGATTGTCCATATAAAGCAGTGTAAAATATATCATTAGAAGGCCTCCTTGCCATAGTGTTCCCAGTTATTTTAGCTTTAGGCTTCTATCCTGGGTTACTATACTTCTTTAAGTTCATTTTTTCCAAGATCAAGTCCAAAAATACCTGATCTGACAGGCTTTGGCAGAAGATTGCAAAAATACATCCACAAAGCTCAGGAGTGTCACCAGCTTGATCGCTGAGGTTAGGTGCTTTGGAGCTGTCCCAGCCACAACAGCACCGACTGATCGCCAGGTACAGGGGGGCTTCGGTCGGTTCCCTCACCCAGGGATTCCCGAGACTACAGAGCAGCCGGGGAAATCTCGCGAGAACGGCTGGCGTGAAGTGGCCGTTGCCAGGGCAACGGCACTGCGTCCACACCCCTTGCCACGCAAAAGCCTCCGGGAGCATCGCTGCCCACCGGAGACAGAGAGGAGGAGTCGGGGTGTGTGAATCACCGAGGTTATTTTAACGAGAAGACACTGTAAGCCACCCATTCACGGGACTACACAGCAAGGAGGGTTATTATCACTGTCAAGTGAGAGATAAGTGCGGGGCTTCTGTTAACGACCCGGCAACCGGACGAGGGCAGAGCCAGCACTACCGGCAGCAGGGCGGGGCTGATCAGTCACACCCTATTAAGGCTATCTGGTAGTGTTAGTAAACCTGCTGGTTTGCCATGACTGCACCCTGGCGGAAGGCTACTGTCACAAAAGTTGTGGAGACCCAGATAAAGGTCCCATGTTCATGCAAAAGGAAGTCTGCAGCCAAAAATAATGTGGAGACTCAGAATGAGTTCCCTACACAAGATGCTAGTACACAGGTCACTGGCTGTGATGAGTGTCAGAGTCTGGCCTTTGCCAGGCGATGGAGACAGCTCTTATATAAGATGTGATCAGCTAGAGGACTTACTCAGTCTTGTGGTTGACCTGAAGGAGGAGGTGGAGAGGCTGAGGACCATAAAGGAATGTGAGAGGGAGATTGATTTGGTGGTGCCAGTCTCTATCAGCCCCGAGACCTTGGCACACAGCTGAGGCTCCACATGGAGCACATCACCCCCTGCCGCCTTTCGAACAGGTGGTAGAGGGGAACAGGCAGGCAGACGGTGCTGCAGAGAGCTCCCTGTTCTCTCTTCCCCTTAGCAACAATTTGAGAGAGGAGGAGGAGTGGAAACAGATACCGGCTCGGTGAAGTGGGCATCCCCCATCCTGACCATGCTCATCTCCCCAGGTGCCTCTGTGCAATAGGTTTGAGGCCCTGGAACTCGAGGGAGTTCCAGTTAATTGCAGCCTTTCAGTGCCTAAAGGGAGCCTATAAGCAGGAAGAGAATCAATTCTCTGAAAGGGTAGATAACTGCAGGACAAGGGGAAATGGTTTTAAGTTGAGGGAGGGAAGATTTAGGTTAGACGTCAGGGGGAAGTTCTTTACTATGAGAGTGGTGAGGTGCTAAAACAGGCTGCACAGAGAGATTGTGGATGCCCCATCCCTGGAGGTGTTCAAGGCCAGATTGGATGGAGCCCCAGGCAACCTGGTCTACTATTAAATGTGGAGGTTGGTGGCCCTGCCTGTGGCAGGGGGTTGGAGATTCATGATCCTTGAGGTCCCTTCCAACCTGCGCCATTCTGTGATTCTGTGAGCGTCTGCATGATTTACAGCTTTTGTGCCCTGTTTAGTTCAAAGTTTAGAAATGCTGGGATCTAAGCATTTGACCTGTCTGTATTTTCTAATTCAGTTGACAGGCTTTTGTGGTAGAGACTGTCTTTTCATTGCAAAAAAGCTAAAGACTGGTTCTTTAAACAATTGAAAGTTACAAGCATCAACAGAAATCACATTACTCAGCACTTAAAAATATTTCAGGAATAGAATGTCGTAGCGATGGCTTGGGTCTGGGCAACATCTCTTTCATGCTCCTAAACAAATAGATGCTAGCATGAGGATGGAATAATGGTTTGAGTTAAGAAGTAGTAAGTTTACTTAGACTGTTCAACAGAAAGTTTTACAAGACCTCGAGCTAAATCTAGCACCAAAAGCAGTGCTGATGCCTTGGAGTGGTGTGCTGTCAAGATGATTAACACTGTTGGTGGTAATGCTGCTTTCCAAAATGCTCTGCACCAAGACATGTGAGTGCATCATTTCTAGTTTTGCTAGCCTAGAACTGCACAATGCATCTCCCAAACTCTCTGGGTGCTGAGCTCCTCAGATCTCATTTAGATGAGATAATTTAATGAGATCCATGTATTTAGTTAATGACTGTAGATTGTTCCTGCTCATGAAGCACGGGTGAAGAAAGCTGGGGCAGTATGGGTGGAAGAAGGAATGAATTGAGATTATATTATTTTGATTTTCTCAGGAATAAAGGTTTTTTAATGAAACAGAATGAGAAAGGTAGAGGTATGTGCCATTTTGTGAAGAGACCAAAATGTAGGACAGGGCTTCGGGCAAATGGCAACATTTTCATTTCAGAGCTATTAGAGTTCTGGTCTTCAAAGATAGGAAACATACAAGACCTATAATATATTTCAGTATCAAGTAACAAAAACTATTAAACTCCATTAATAAGCAATCTCTAGAGTGAAAAAGATTCAATATAAGGTTATGGCCAAGGATTTTATTGGACTGTAGGAACATTGAGGAGCATTTTTTAAATCTTGATTAATTTTTTAAACTCCAAGTGTGGATTCTATTTCTTTTGGCATATGTAGTTTGCACATATGAATAGGTAATATGACATATTTATGTACGAGATTATCAGTTACTGTCTGATGAGTGATTAAATTTATATGTTCAAAGCCTGATTGACTTTCATTGACTGTTTTTCATTTAAAGAAACCCCTGCTTATATGTAAAGCATAAATCATCATCCCATTCCTAAAAGGTAATGATTGCAGAATAATAATTTATAATAGCAACATTAATATCAATTATTCTGCCTTTAAGATCAGTTCCCACATACATTAAAATCTGAATGTAAAAGAGGTAACAACTTACAAAGATTATACATTCTGTTAGTTGTTACTGTATTTTTTGCAAAGATTCCAGTATTAGCATGCATGAAAGGGGCAAAATCTTTCTGTAGTCCCATCTAGCAACACTTCCAACAAGGCAAAGGTTACTCACTTAGAAATATTATCACCAGCTACACTAAGTTCAACATATTGTTTGTTCCCTTCCAGTAAATCTTCTGGAAATGGAGCAAGACCAGAGAGGACTCCAGCAAAGGACTTTGGACAGGAAAAATGCAACAGAAAGTCCCAGAGAATGAACTAAATCCTTTGTTTTTGGAGCAACGGGTAAAAGGTATGTATACTGACATTTCACTAGGACTTCTTCATTCTTGCTGTTAAGACTTACAAAATACTTTGGGTCAACCTGATGATTATCACAGAGTTTTCTGTGCACTGAGGGAGCAGTGGGGTTTTCTCCAAGGACACAAGAGACCTAACACATAAACCAAGGCTCCTTCTGATGGGTTGAGTTCAAAGGCACTGTCATATTAGTAGGTTTACTCAGTCATATCCAACCCATGGCCTCCAGGCCGCATGTAGCCCAGCGTGGCTTGCAGTGCAGCCCACCTCCCGCCTTCTGCCATTACAGTGGCAGCCAGCATGCATCCATCACTCAGCAACAACCAAACACTTGGTATTAACCGTATCTGGGCTGAAACCAGAACAAGGAGAGGGAACAATGCTGTGCTAACTCAAATTTTGGCAAATAATGTTATGTATTTTAATACATTGGCTAAACACAGTCCTGTGAACAGCAAAAAAATATGCAGCCACACTTTCCATTATGATAAAGGAATTTGAGAACAGGTTTCAAGATTGCAAAAAAATTATCAATTTCTGGTATATTTGCAACTCCACTTTCAGTCAACAGTAAATACCTTATCAGCAAATTTTCAAATGGAATGTACAGAGTTGCAATTATTCAACTCAGAAATCTCTTTAATGGGCTTTTATGTCTCTTTAATGGACTTTTATAAGCCCTATTTTACCAGAGAGAAATATCCCACCCTTCACAGTCACACCTTATCTGTGTCATTACTTTTTGGCCGTATGTACATTTGTGAACAACTGTTTTCAAGGATGAAGTACAGGATGAGTAAAATTTAATCAAAAATCTCTGACAGTCGCCCTGAGAACTCATTAAGAATTGCAACCACTGCCATCAGACCAGAGTGATGTGCTAGTTTCACAAAAACATGATCAAATATTCCACTACTTTTACGGCTTTGTTGCTCTTCTTGTTTATCTTTTAATAATAATTAACAAAATCAATTAAAATGTATTGTTACTTATATACATTACCTAAATTATATATTTTAAGAGGACCAAAAGTAATGCCCCCTATTTTATTAGGTTGTCCCACAACATCAGAGGCAGATATTGTCAGTATGGAAGTAGAGATTGAACCTTCCCACTAATATTGTACTACATTTTGTTGTTCTGTGACAGGCGGCAGCAGAAGGGCAGTCTGACAAAATAGCATCTGATGTGGAAGTGTGTATGAAGCAAAGGTATGTCACTGAATTTCTCCTTGTGGAAAAAAAGGTACTCCTTGACATTTATCAATGCTTGGAGAACATTTATGGAGACCAAACAGTGATTGTGAGCACAGTGAGGTGGTGAGTTGTGCATTTCAGCACCAGAAACAGCTGGTCACCTCTGTTGGGTTTGATGTGTGAGGCATGGAGGCTTTTGTGACAAGCAAAAGGCTTTGCAGACAAAAATGCAGAGCTAATGATGGTGACTACCATCATTGCTGAAGAACAGATTTTTGTATCTGAGAATTTGCTCTATCAAAGTATTACTGTGCTCATTGTAGCTGCTGTAGTTTCTATAGGAATAAATAGGAGGCATTACTTTTGGAGTGACCAACATATATGCACCCCCAAACAATTCCTTTTCGCTCTGTGTGGCCAGGCAAGCCAAGTACACTCATGGCCTCAGTCATTTCAGTGTCTCACATGAGTGTTATATTTGCGATTTCAATACTGACAATTTTGAATGAAAGGTTGAAAACAAGAGCCACTCGTATGACATTTGCCATATTCCCATCTAGAAAGAGCCCTAAACAATTGCACAAAAGGCCTTGTATTACATGGATCTTAATTGGAAGTCTCACCAATGATCTCCACCAACATTTTCACAGCAGAAACCCTTGGCAGGGTCCTTCATGATGACAGTGGAGAAGACCTGGCTAGACATTGTCTATCCAAAATAGAAATGTGTCAGGAACATAGGGAAGTAAAATGTCTCACCTTTGTGTATTAAAAATCTACGGAAGTCCTCTTACCATCCTTCTCTTCCTTCATTGATGTCACAAGAGTAAAAATCTAGGTCTTAAAGAAGACAGAAAATGATCCAAGGCTGCAGGAAACTTGATCTTGCAGAAAGCCTTCTCAGGCAGAAGAAATGGCCACAACAGAATGGGATGGGCTACACAGCTTGGAAAGCTTTAGTAAATCCGCTACTTTAAATGGCCTAAATGCCTATAAATTACCACACACAAAGCCTGTGGCCATTATTTAGACCCTCTTCAAGTAAAGCTGTCCTTGACTTGAAGGAGGAAGTGTTCTGTGGTGAATGGAAGGTATCTAAGAGAATATTCACCCTTGGCTTGTTATGATCACATCAGACACTAACTTGGCAAATACATTCAGCTAGTTTTCGCAATAGAAAATTACAGCCAAGATCCATGTTGGCTTAAGAAATCAGTATGTTCACATAAAATAAGAGCTGACCTAAACTCAAGCATGATATTTTCTGAGATTTGTAAAAAAAAAAAAAAAAAAAAAAAAAAAAAGAATAATAAAAATTGTTTTGTATGTCTCTGCACTTTAACACTCACTGTAGAGACTGCAGTTATAGGTTCTCTGGAAATGCAAATTAGACAACAGTGCCTGATTTTGCCTGGCACAAGGAAGAGAAGCGCTAAAATATTTTCTGATGGGTCTGAGCCAGAATTCTAGAGACTAGATTTAAAGCTAGAGGTTTAGATAGATATTTAAAAGAAAAACTATTGTCACAGATTTCTTATTCCCACTGAATTCAGGACATACTCTTGACAACTGACAGTCAAGAGATAGAGTTTTTCCACCTCTCCCTTTTCATTGAGTTTGTACAAAAGCACTGTTTCATTTCGTGGTTAGTTTTGAAAACTTGCATAAGAAATGTGAGATCAAACCACAAAGTTCGGATAGTGATGTGCACTTTTTGTGAGTTTGTAGGGGATATTAGGATCCCAACTGCTCTACTTTGAATAACTCCCACTAGGTGTGAACTGAAAAATAAAATAAAGCATGTCTGCAAATACTGAAACTAACTCTGATCCAAGTTACATCCAACAAAATACAGGGGAGAAGGAAAAGGAAGGTGAATTTGGCCTGTTTTCCTCTTCAGACTACTTAGTAGATACATATCTATCCCATCCCATCCGCAAATTTATGTCCATCCATTTTGTAATGCTCTTCTAGCTCTGCCCTGTACTTTTACATCAATATACGTATTTCTATTCAAGAGATCATTATTATTATTTTAAAACAGATGGTTTGAACATAATCCACATAAATAGTAGATTGGCACTGCCAGTCATGATGGCATGTGTAGAAAAGAGCTGGCGGATATGACAGTATTTAAAGATTAGCAGTCTGGGACACTAAAAAAAATGACAGTGTCTCTTGCCACTGAACCTAATGCTTGTGCTATGGCATTCAAATAAAGCCATAGCAGTCATCATGCCAAGAGACTGGATAAACTCGCTATTTAAAAAAAAAAGTTTTGCTGTAGCTATGTATGGATACAGTGGGGGGTGGCATAGACTCTTCTGTAGTAAGGAGATATGAAACTCACACTCCTTCCTGTCCTTTTGCTGGGATCAACAGATGGAGGGCTCACAAAAATCTGTGCTCTGACCACTTCTGTGAACATGCCAGGCATCGCTTCAGTTTTTTCTCTGGGACACTAGGAATCTACCATTAATATAAAATATATAATTGTTTAAAATTACCTATAATCACTGTCCAGTTGAACCTGTGAAAACAGTGCATATTTTAGAAGCACTCTAAGTGTACGTGTGCCCTGCAGCTGACCTACCACAGATGTAACTACCTTAAGTTGCTGCTGATGGGAGGAATGTATCATTACTCCAAGCTGGAAATTGTGTGCTTGACACTTCCTCAAAATACCCACTTAATAGCCCACATCTCTGCTGTTTGGCCAGTTTATTCCCTCTGCTTGGGCTATTGTGCTGACTCATCTCCCGCTCCTAATTTTATGCATATTAAGGTTGTGTAGCACAATGGAAAGCATAACAAAATGGCAGGGTAGCAAGATCTTAAGCCACAGAGAGTGAGGATCTGCTTAGATCTAACAGCAGAAAGCACAGAAATAAAGGATCCTTTGGAAGGCCTCAGGTGCACAGGGATCTCCAGATAGATGTCCTCACCTCCAGTGCCAGTCCTTAAATGAGATCTGGGAAGGGGTTGATCCTGGCTCCACCCCTTCTAGTCACTCAGGTACACTGCATACACCTGAGCCCTCCTGGATTGCCTCTGCCCTCCTACCAGGTGCTCAGTTACTGTTTCAAGCTGTGAATTAGTGTTTCCACTACAGGCTTGCACATTAATTCAGACAGTTCTCTTGGGTTCATCTTGCTTGAAGGCTTGTTGAAACCTCTTGACCAATCTAGGTCCAGCCTTCTCTCAGCTACAAGAACATCTAGAACTTGATCACATTTGCCAATTGGTAGAGGGAGCATATCTTTCTTACTGTTTTGACACGAGTCCTATTTTGGCTCTAAGGACAACATTTTCACTAAGGTCAGTAAGAGGAGAATGGAGATCCACACAGCACTCCATAAATTCTAAGAAATGGTGAAAAATAGCGAGGCTGTCAGTGTGACTTCCATTGCTGGTTGAAGGGAGTGGATAACGTGTGAGTGCAGACAACAAAAGCTAATAAAGGACACATTTTGAATTTTAGTATCTAGTTGAAAGACCAAAAGCTTCAAGGATATGACAAATCCTTTGAGGATGTACGCATGATGCACATTCACAAGTCATGAAGTCTGCCCACCACGCTTGTGTAACCACATGACACTTCAGTAGAGCAGCCAGACACATGTTCAAAGTGCCTCTGCTGCCTTCCTGGCCACACACCAAAATGCCTCAAGGGTACAGAGGAGAATTATCCACAACCCAAGGGAAAAAAAAGAGAGAGAGAGAGATTGGTATACTGGTTGAAGACTTAGCATGCAGATTCCAAAGACCATTACAGCATATATGGAGATGTAAAAGTTTCTTGTGCAAGCTGTAACACACCACTTAAAGCATCTTCAAATTATCAAAGTCAGAGATGATTTGATAGAACCTCACAAATTCCATAATCTACTGTAAGTAGTAGCTAAGACTTTGGCTTCACCCATGAGTCTGCAACTGGGGAAGAAGCAGGAGGATAATTTATCTGGGGTAATGAAGTGTTAACAAAAACCATATGAAGTTATTACTACAACCACAGGCCGCAGAATGTGAAAGGAGGAGGATCTCAGGAGACCTACCTATTTTCAGTAATCTCCTGCTTCATAGTTCACAAAAGGTGTTCAGCAAAACAGGAGGCAAGCATCAGAAATTAACTGAATCATTAAGCCTAATGAACAATGCTGGTCATATCATAAAAAATACAGTCAACCGACATTGATATATACATACTTTAACTCATTCTTCCCAACTTTATTAGGTACATATGTCTACAGCAGACACAAATGAAACATTCTACAACTAGGCTGCAAGCCAAAAACTAATTTATTCTTTAATGTGGTAGTGATTACTTGGTGGTTCCTTGAGCAGAGATGACAGGTCTGAGTTAATGGAGTTGTACTGTAAGTTAATATAAATCATGACAGAGCAATTAATTACAGAAACCACTGCAAATCCCTTTGTTAGTTTTCCCCATCACCAGAAGGATTTAATAATGTTCATTTTGCTAAGTTCCAGTGACATTTACAAGTCTTAAACCATTTTTAATCAAATCAATATCTCTGGCTGCTAAATTTAGTTGTGCTTTGCTAGCAAGTCCTGGAATGCATCAATACTAATGTTTCCTACCTTCTGTTTAAGTAAATCATACTGAAACCCCATACTTCCTTTTCATTTGTTTACGTTGAATAATTGGGATTTTTTTTAAAATGAGCAACATATGAAATAAGTGCATTCAAAGAAGTTAGGAGACAGCAAGCTAGACAGATATACAAATATCACTGCTTATGATGTGTATCAAGGAGTTGAAAAATTTAAGGAAATTTTCTTAATTGGCTGAAAGTGCTTCAAACCAAAGAACCAGGACTTGCTTGGAAACTGGGATGCTCAAACAGAGCTATGGTTAAGTCTTCATGGTTAATAGAAGATAGAGGGCACACAGATCTCTTCCTGATCCTGTGTGCTCTTGGATCTGTTACTGAAGTGTCCAAATGCTTGAATGACAGCAAATTTCCATTT